TTATTATGGAGAATACAACGTTGAAAACTACATCAATTTCAAGCACACTTTTCACATTTGATCAGTACCTTCAAACGCTGGTACCCAGCTGTGTTATATATGTCGTTGTATCAACATTTGGGATTATATCCAACATCATCAACATCCGGGCATTCGTCGTCATGGGACTCAAAGACGCCATGACAGTTTCGTTTCTTCTCCTATCTATTTCTGATTGTACATTCTCAGTCGTGTCCCTTGCTTTAGGTGTCGCCAGCGCGCTTTTTGTTATGGAGGTCTGGACTGAAGTATGGCTGCCCATAGAGCCTTACATTGTCGGTCTTTTCAGCGCTAATCTGTTTATACCCCTGTCAGCTGTGGTGGCGCTAAACACGAGCTTTATATCCGTAGCCAGGTGTATGTGCGTCTCGCTACCATTTCAATTCAAGCACGTATTCAAAAGTAAAACATCTGTCATGTTCATGTCGACGAGTTTTGTGTTCAGCGCGGGGATGTATGTTCCTGTGTTCACGTATATGGGGGTGGTAGACAAATTCGACCCTGTTCACAATAGGTCAAGGCCGTCGGCTTGGGTCTCGCCAGCTCGCGAGTATTTGCGAGATATTGTGTGGAATATTTTAGGCCTGGCGATACCGATTTCAACATTCGCGGTGATTATAATCTCGACGGTCATAATGGCACACGCTCTAACCAATTCAAAGAAGTTCAGGTCTGCTAATGTTCATGGGTATGTATCGTCTGGTATAAAAACTGCGGACGTTTCTAATATAAAAGAAAACTATCCAAAGAAAACAACAGGAAAGATATCCGGAAAAGAACGAGAAATCGTCAAACAAGTTTTGCTCATCTCCCTTGTTTACATCATGTGTAACACGCCAAAAATCTTGTTTATTTTAGCCGGAGTTTTCGTTCCTGAATTTTCACTGAACGGGCGCTTGAGCTATTTATTTTTAAGCGTGAGTAGTGTTCGCATGATGTGTGAGACAGTTCACCCCGCCATCAGCCTACCCATCTACTACACGTACAACTCCAAGTTCAAGGCCAACTGCTTTACCTAACAGAAAATCACGAACATTCTGCGAATCTATGAAGCCTCAGTGTGAAAAAATGAAATGTTTGACTAAATTCCAAATGTTTATTAAGCGTAGTTCCAATTTAAAAGTAAGCCTGTGGAATAAGAATTAAATACTGTTTTGTTTACTTTCAATGCAACACAAAAGCTATTAAAAGTAACATTTTATACGAGTTTTTTTCTTTGAAATCTTTTTCTCCAGGCGAAACTATTAAAGAAGCTGTTTCTAGATACTACACAAACAATAAAAAAAATAAAATAAAATAGTTTTTTGATGGAAAATTTGGCAGTTGGGCATACAACTGACGACACTATAACTTTACATATCGAGGTCAGAGAATTAGGTGAACTCTGCTTCATCTGCGCTATTGACCGTCAGAGTCAGCTTATATTTTAAATTTTCTGCGGTAAAACAATGCATGCAGAGAAAAACAAATTCTGAATATTTCTAAACCATCACCAGCTTTTCAGGGAAATATTTAAACATTTGTTAGGAACAAGTGAACTAGATAGAGACTGCTCTTGAAATGTTTCCTATCAGGCTATATGCGTGGAGTCACAGCTATACGGCTTGTAAGTAGGTCACCAACTTCTTATACTAGCCAGCTAGTATTTTTCAAACCAATTGTGAATTTGTTTATTAAATCGGTAAAACAAGAAATATAAAATACTTACGCTATTGTTTGAGAATACACATGACCCTGTCTAACGAGATTTCAAAATTTAAGTAAGAGAAGCAAAGAGACTTACAAGCAGAGGTTCTTCCAGTCATCTCTTCGGGGGGGGGGGGGCTTCTACCGCCCCCCGAACGAAATGAAATTTATATAATTTATATAGAAAATACATTCTTTTAACATTGTCCGCCCCCCCCCCCCCGAAGAAAGTCTACCCCCCACGAAAATTTCAAGTGCCCCCCCCCTCCCGGAGAAAAAAGTCTGGAAGAAACACTGCTTACAAGCCCTATAGGCGTGGCGCACAGCTACAGGCGTGGCATCATAGCTATAAGCGTGGCGTCATAGGGTAGGGATGTATCCGTTACATCCCTTAAAACAAGCACCCCAAGTGACGCTACAGTGAGTATGACACCCCCTCCCCAGGTTAGTATTAGTTATTCTTTTATCATCTAGTGAGTTGTGCGGTGGGCTAGATTGTGTTGGGTGACTTCTAGATGTGACTAGCTTCACATAAGTTGTTCCTTTGAAAAGGAAGTGATCATAAAGACGTACGACTCAAAGCTCTGCATTGATCTCAGACGATGAGCACACAGCCAACCTCCAACTCGTCAACGTTTTGGATTTACTCCAGCTTCTTTAAACACTATTCCACTTCCTCGTTCGCAGTTTTCATGAATGCAGCCCTTGACATGTCAACAGTTGAAAGTTTGCTGAAAATCTCATGCTTTAGTTCACAGGTTGTATTAGGATAATCTGTTGGTGGTGAATTTAATCGACTCGACGACATAGTAAAACCCTCGAGAAAAATTGGGAAGGGGAGATAAAGTCAACTTATTTATTTAAATTTCGGGGTGGGTGTCAAGTGAAATATGTCTATTCATTCATTCAATGCTCGTCACCCCTGCTAAGGTATGGACCACCAACTACAGATCTCCAGAGTCCTCTGTCCTGCTAAGGTATGAGCCGTCAACTAAAGATTTTATAGTCCTCTGTCCTGCTGGGGTATGGGCCGCCAACCAAAGATCTCCAGTCCTCTGTCCTGTGCCATTTTCTCAATATCCGGTGCTACTGGTTTACGAGTTTAGTAGGGTTTTCCAGATTTCCTCATCAGCAGAAAGTTCAAACACGAAGTTGGGCTTGTTGGTTACATTCTCCATCATATACTAAATTAAGAACGAAGAAGAAGAAGAGGTATGAAGTATGTGGAGAAGTGAAATCTGAGCGAGGAGAAAAAAGGGGGGGGTACTAATGACATAACGTTAAAAGAAATCTCGGGGCAGATGAAGTATGTTTGGTGGAGCTGAGGAGGGAGCGGGAAAAAAGCTATCAGGGGATACTTTAAATCTCATTCAGTTGTCAGAAACACCCATCGCTTAAACCATGTGCAGAGTTGGCGAGAAAAAACCTCCCAATGTGGAATCTATGACTGTAGTCAGTCAGTATTTCAATCGCTCGGTGAAATTTGATACACATCGGCAGGTTATTAGCGTCATCTTATTGGCGGTGCTTTAAATGATATTGCCGTCTATTCGAAACATGCTTTCAAAGCAGCTTTTAATGTTATAATAAAGAAACTTATATGAATGTAAAATAATTCAATCCTACAATATAATAATATTGGTGGTTAATAAAAAAAATGATTTCGTAATGAAAATAAAGAGAATCCACTATGTAGACACAAACTGAATATTGGAATAAATATTTTACCCTGTGTTTATTTTAAGGGCATTTCTGTCTGGCAAATGTCGCAGCACTATTTATGAAAGCTGTATAATATTTGTTTTTACTTTTTACTGGTTAAGCCATACTTGTAGACTACCCTACCAGAGTTTCTTCCAGGCATCTCTTCTACTGCCCCTCCCCCCAACGTAATGGAATTAATATAGAAAATTTTAGTCGTCCCCCCCCCCCCCCAGAAAATTTCAAGAGCCACTCCGGACAAAAAAAGTCGGGAAGAAACACTGTACCCTACTGTTTCAGAAATTTGAAAAAAAAAATTAACAAAAAAATAACACCGACCCTTTCACGTATTTATTTGAGATGAAAACAGACAACACATGTTGGAATCCATGCAAGTTAGATCGCTTCTTTACTTCAGGAAACACACAAGCAAAGTAAGTTCACTACGACAGTACAGCAGAAGTGGCTCACTTAGATTTATCCAAATTCCAGCAACAATTTTCCAATCCAACACATACCGTGAATGGAGAAAAGGGAAATAACCGAGAAATTAAAATCTGAGTCCATCAAGAAAAGAAAAGAAGCTATAAAGCCCTGAGTTTGGCCAATGTTCATACAAGTCCATATGGTCAAACTGTTGGTAATTAAGTCTAATGCCCGCATCAGGAAACAGAAAACACCACACGCTAGCATTTCTTGTTGAAATATTTTCAATATTAAAAATGTTGAATGGAAGCGATACAATCTTCAGTGTCGTCGCATCAGTAATAGACATAAAAAATACTGTTTGATACTGACTGTAATAAAAATATTATTTTTAACAACTCGGATAATACTATTATCATATAGTTAGAAGACGTTAATGTAAAACTTCATTTTCTGCTAACTATTTGAAGAGAAACTAAAACACCTTATTTACTTGTACAATTGATTTTTAAAATGCACAACTGTATCAAATTAATCTACATTTGGTAAAAAGCATAATAAACAATCCCATTATTTTGTTTTTATAATATACACTATTTTACTCAAAACTGTTTTATGATTTAAACAAAAGAGTTTTCCTTGATTATAGTGTCAGTTCAAAGACAAATTCAAAACAAATAGCTATCCTGTGTCTACTGTTGAAAGCGGAACTATTAAATTACACACAACATCGGGTGTTTATCTGTAGTCGGTTTAAAAAAAAATCAATTTTCAATGTTCGCCTTGTAACACTACAAATTTCATCATTTATGATTTAAATAAAGGGTTACCTTAACAAAAAAAACTACCATTTTAAAAAGTTAAGTTGTAAGTAAATGACGTTTATCTTTATTTATTTGCTTGCAATCCGTTGTTTCTGAGACCTATTATTTTGATCCGAATCTCTAATCTTTTTTGATTAAACCGTAACAGTAATACATTCAATTACATTTAACATAACACTCAGAAGGATAGAAAAGATTTAAATTATTGATTAACTTTTAGGTGTTCGGTAGTCTTCATATTTTACGAACGGAAAGTCGATGCTAGAAATTCGAGACGTTTTAAATACTTACCCAAGGGAAGTCACTAGGTTGACAAATACTACGATGGAGAATTCGACTTTGCGAGACTTATCAAATTCTAGCATGTTTTTAACATTTGAACAGTATCTGGTCATGATGTTTTCATGCTGTATTCTTTATGTGCTAGTTTCTACATTTGGCATTCTCACCAACATCATCAACATTCGAACCTTTATTTTAATGGGACTCAAAGACGCCATGACAGTTTCGTTTCTTTTGTTATCAATCTCAGATTTAAGTTTATCTGTTGTCTCCCTTGTGACAGGGTTCGGTGGAGTTTTATACGTCTCAGAGTTTATTTTTGATGACTGGTTTCCCGTGGATCCTTATATTGCCGGTCTGTTCAGTACAAATCTCTTCATACCTTTGTCTGCTGTCGTGGCTTTAAACACAAGTTTTATCTCTGTAGCCAGGTGTATGTGTGTCTCGTTACCATTTTACTTTAGAAACATCTTCCAGAGAAAAACTGCAACAACAACCATGATAGTGAGTATCTTGTTTTGTGTACTTGTGTATTCCCCAGTCTTTACCTACATGGGCGTGGTAGAAAAGTTTGACCCCGTTCATAATAGGTCAAGGCCGTCAGCGTGGATATCACCCGACCGGAGATATCTGAAAGACATTGTGTGGGATATACTAAACATGGCGATACCCATCTCAACGTTCGCGGTTATTATTGTATCAACTATTATAATGGCAAGAGCGCTAACAAAGTCACAGAAGTTTAGATCAGCCAACGCCCAACGCAATCTACCCTCTGGGACGAATGCCGCTGAAAAATCCAGAATCAAAGACAATTTTTCGAAAAAGAAAGTCGCGGGACTGACAGGTAAAGACAGACAAGTCGTGCTACAAGTCGTGGTGATCTCCCTTGCACACATCTTGTGTCACACGCCCACGATCGTGTTCATCTTAGCGGGTGTTATCGTCCCTGAGCTAACGCTGGGCGGACGATTGAGTTATCTCTACGTGACGGTGGGCAACGTGTGTATGATCTTGGAAAACATAAACTCCTGTATCAGCCTCGCAATCTACTACACGTACAACTCAAAGTTTAGGCAGATCTGCTGAATTTCATATTTTTGAAATGGGAAACCATATCATTCAAGTATTTGCTGATGTTTTGCAACTAAAAGAAAATTAAAAACAAAACAAAACAAAATAACAAAACGAAACGAAACGAACCGAAACGAAACGAGACGAGATGAGACGAGACGAGACGAGAAAAAGGAAAACCTTATAATTTAAGAGTAATAAAAATATTTATATTTATTCCGCTACGTACTTTATATTATATATAGATCACCTTCTTTTTCTAATTACTAATATATTATATATTTTTCAATGAATCCTTAAGTTGTTCTTTTCTTTGAATAAATAAAAATTATATTTATCATTTCACATATATAGAAATTGAAAAGCACAAAAACAACCGTATACAGATTTAAGGATTATATAAATTTTAATTGTCGTGCTTACATTTTATGTGGTGAGTGCACTATCTGTCTTTCCATTTGACCATTGTGAGATCCAACAATGATTTTTTTTTCATTATCTACATTTTTACTTCCTCGTATACGAAGTATAGAGAAAGTATTGTAATCGTGCGAAAAAAATCGAGATTTTTGCAAATCTCGACGTTTTACACCTCCCAAGTCGGAAAAATCTTAATTTTGCAATCTCGATTGTATGTCTGTGTATGTATATGTGTGTCTGTAAACAAACGATTTTTTTGCACGATTACAAGACTTTCTCTATACTTCGTATATACGAGAAGGTAAAACAAAACCCGAATATAAGCCATTTTAGAATAGCCTCCCATCCAACTGTATAAGCAAGGATACTGCGTTTATCAAAATAAGCAAATACCAAAAGGCCCTCCTATTACAGTTATTTATCAAACTAATCTACCCAAGAAATTAATTTTGAATTGTTATTGTTTTTGTTCAGTTAATTTTACTACAATGCCTCTTTAGTTTATTACAACAAGGAAATAATTATCTCATAGCCAAAATTTGTCGATACTAACTAAATTTTATAAATGATATGGACAAAATGTTTCTGAAATTAACGGACAATAAAAGAACTAAATGCGAAACCACAATGAAAAAATTGCTGCCACTTGCTTTAAATTCTTACTCGATGTACTGTTCCCTAGCCACCCTTTGGCGGGCCTCATTACAACGTATTCAATTTTAAAATTGTAAGTGTTGGATGTTGTGTTGCTACTCATTAGTACAGGTAATCTTCAAAACATTTTATTTAATATTAGGCATACTGCCTAGCTTCGCTTAGGTTTTCAAAAAAGTTGAGAAATTGAATGATTAATTAATAGGTGATTGGCTGTTATGTTAAATGCTTAGGGCCTAAATTTATACAGTGTGGTGCTAATATCCCAGCCATATTGAATGAATATTCGCAAACTTATAACTCGCAAGGTTATTAGAACTGAAAGGGCTTTCATAAAAATTATCAATCAAATATTATATTAAATTATTTTGCAATTAATTTTACAATTTTAATACAATACAAAACTTAATTTATAACGAAATATCCATTTAAAACAATGCTACACTTTATGATTTTTGTTTTTTCTTAAAAAGAGTATACAAAATATTAAAAAAATTGTTACAATAAAAAGTTACCTTCCCTGCTCATAGACCAAATGACCAAATCTCGTATAATGAGAACTTCACTCGCAGTCATTTTTAGCCCTCTTCGAGGGCTTTGATGCTGACCAATAGTTTTTCCATACGGCCCATTAATCTATAGAGGTGTATGCAAAAAATTAGCCAGTTATACAAAAAGTAAGTACCCTAAAATTTGCGTAGAAATTACCCTGTTTTCCCCATAAAATACAAAGATTATATAGGGAAATACAACTGGTCAGTTTTGACCCCTTTACGAAGTTTTCCCAGATATGCTGAGTTTTTTGTGACACACCAAAGCGTTCTCCTACCACTTCACAAAATTTCAAGGGGGGGGGGGGTCGTCGGAGGAAATTTTTTTTCGTAATAGAGCTCATATAAAGAGAATTTCACTCGCGGTCACTTTTTAGCCCTCGTCGAGGGCTTTGAGTAAAACCGACAGGTCTGCCCTACGGCCAAGCCATTTACCTATAAGCATGCCAAAACTTAGCCAGATGTAAAGAGGGTAAGTGCCCTAAAATCCGTTCTGAAATGACCCTCTGTTTTCCCCATAAAATACAAAGATTATATAGGGTAATACGACTGGTCAGTTTTGACCCATTTTCCGATTTGTCCCGGACATGGCGAGTTTTTTGTGACACCCCAAGGCGTTCTCCTACCACCTCACAAAATATCAAGGGGGTCATCGGAGGAAATTTATTTTCGTAATAGAGCTCATATAAAGAGAATTTCACTCGCGGTCACGTTTTAGCCCTCGTCGAGGGCTTTGAGTCAAACCGACAGGTCTGCCCTACGGCCAAGCCATTTACCTATAAGCATGCCAAAACTTAGCCAGATACACCAGTTAACAAAATGTAAAACAACAACAACCCCATACTGAAACAGAAATATGGTGGATAAGTTGCGGCGCGAAGCCTTAAGCTGACTTCCACTCCCCCTATCTTAAACACTGTCGGAACTAATCCAAACCCTAATTTAAACAATTGTTAGCATGAAACAATTATTTAAAGCATCAATTTTACTGTAGATTATACAATATTCATCAAAAAGTGGCATACAAAACATTCAACGCTTCCTGTAACGGTTAAAGCTGAGCTATCTTTAAAATATAAAAAAAAATAAACAATAATCACCTACCTTGTCTTTCACTCTGATATTGATAAAATAAATTATTACCGCCCTTTAGCGTTTATGTTTTAGAGTGTGGATCACCTTTTTGGCTATCATTTATATAACAGTTATACTAATTGAGGAAGGGAGCTACGCTATTAATATGCTCATCAATTATGAGATCATCAGTATCATCTTTTTCCGTTCGTGCCCAAGACACATAAGGCAGATGAAGTAGAGCTCATCTGTATCAATTAACCTCGGCATACAAAAGGATAGTGTAGTCAGCGCTATGCCTGGTCACCATCGTTTCGCTAAGGTGAGTCAGATACCCACCATAGCTGGGTGAGCTAAGGGACGCCCTACATACTCAATCCTGGGATCAGGACTCGAGACTTTCGGCTTAGCAGACATCAGCTCTACCATTCAACCACGCCGTCCCAGTTATGTGATTCTCCGGTCCAAATATATTTGCTCAACTCCTAACCCTTTTCACAAGAAATTAAACATCTCATGTTTTGTTGGACCACATTAGGTACAATTTGGCGTGTAGTTACACACTTTAGCAGTTCCTCTCAAATCCAAGGTTGTGGATATGATAATTTTGATATAAATGTTAAAATATACAGGCATGACGTGCGCATCAGAAAGTTACACTCACTAAAATAAAAAACTGATACATTAAAATCTGATACTCTCATGAAAAGAAACGAAAAAGCCAATTCCTCACTCTCACTCAGCACAAAAGACGAAAGCCCAAACAGGGCAAATGTTGGTGGCAATCTCTAGCGACATTATAAGTAAATATAAAACACAAAACGTTAGAGTTTCTGGTGAAAGATTTTCAACCTGAAAACTGTTGGGCAATTTTTCTGTTTCCGTAACTGTCTCCATCTCCAACTAACTTTACGTTCTGTAGTATTTTTTTTCTTTTTTTTTCTTTTATTCCTATCAATTTTAGCACAATGAGAATAATTTAAAATATCTAAACAATAGTGAATGTGCTCAAATAAAAAAAAACCCAGTGTAAATATTTTTTACCAAGCTGTTTCCATCAAATGTCTTTATTCTATCAAAATTTGTTTTTGAATTTAGTTAGAGCATTTAAAATATTTCCCACGACAAAGAAATAATACCAATAAAAATATATTTCAAAGAGGCAATTTTCTAAATTTTCTTATAAACAATTAAAATACTTAAATTATTTGTTTTTCACTGTTTCGTCATGTGTAATATTAAAAGAACTTTATAGAAATGTAGATTAAATATAGCTGCCAGTTACACTACACAGCAATATCAATTTAATAATTTCATTTAATTCAGAAACACGAGTCTACCTACTATAATTCTCTTTAATTACACAGGGGAAGAAAAAAAAACAACTTAACTGGTTAAGATGTGTTTGAAGTTTTAAGCTGAAACATTAAAATGGGTATTTAGGGTCAATTTTATCGTTTCGGAGGTTAAATTATCAATATTTTTGTCGTTTTCAAAATAGCCTTTTTAGCAAACTGACATTTATAACCATCTATTTAGTGGGAAAAGAACAGCAGAAAACAAAATTAGAGAAGCTAGAAATTAAAGGGAGTAGTCCTCCCTTATTTCTTTGTAACATATTATATTATAGATATAATTGTTTTACGTTTTAGAGTAAAATATTTTTGTTTGTTATCAGTAAGCTTTGCTAAAGAAAGGAAACGTTAGTTGATGCAGATTTCATGTAAAACATCTGCATAACATGATAAAATATCATATTTTTAACGTTAGTAATGACACACAAACAATTTGAGAACCATCAAAACATAGTTATATTTTCCTTAAACTGCTTTGGAGAACATTCAACGATTCAATGATGCAGAATTCAACGGTAAAACATACTCCAAGTTCCAACGTATTCTTAACATTTGAACAATATCTGCTAGGAATGTTAACTTGCTGTATATTGTACGTACTGATCTCAACTTTCGGGATTCTCACCAACATCATCAACATCCGAACCTTTATTTTAATGGGACTCAAGGACGCCATGACAGTTTCGTTTCTTTTATTATCACTCTCGGAGTTAAATTTATCTGTTGTCTCCCTTGTGACAGGGTTCGGTGGGGTTTTATACGTCTCAGAGTTTATTTTTGACGACTGGTTTCCCGTGGATCCTTATATTGCTGGTCTGTTCAGTACAAATCTCTTCATACCTTTGTCTGCTGTCGTGGCTTTAAACACTAGTTTTATCTCTGTAGCCAGGTGTATGTGCGTCTCGTTACCTTTTTACTTTAGAAACATATTTCAAAGAAAAATTGCCGTCGTGTTTATGAG